GAATTGACTCATTCGAGAAAGCAGAATTATTTTACACAGAATACTTCAGAGGGAAAGAAGAGGAGACAGAAGAAAAAATGCCAGTTGAATTCCAAGAGGACTGCCAAGCAGTGATTGAAAAAGAAGGTGCAGTAGGCAGAAAGGTGGAAGCTAGAGAACAATGAGAACCAAGTTCTACGAGAGCTGCAAACCTACTTATAAAGTATAATCATGGAAGAGAAAAAATTGATTATAATTAATATAAATGGACTTAATTCAGCTGTTAAAAGAAGAAAAACTTTCCATAAATTAGAGAAATTAAAATTTGATATAATCTGCCTACAAGAAGTACATATTAAAAAGCAATATGAACAACTGTTGATACAGCCAAAGCTAGAGAAAATATTTACTTCTTTGACACAATGCAAGAAAAGAGGAGTGGTTTTATACATCAAAGATATTATCCCAGTGAAATTGATCCATACGGATGAAGATGGAAGACTCTTAATGGTGGAAATAATGGACAACAATATGAAAACACTCCTGATATGCTCTGAATGAAAATCAAGAAGAATTTTATAGAAAATTACATATGAAAATAATTGAACTGGACTATGTTAATATCATTATGATGGGAGACTTTAATGGAATAGTAGACAATAAATTGGACTATACAACACAGAAAACAACAAAACAAAGCAGAAAGACTCTCCCGAAATCCTTTTTTAAATTGATAGATGAAATAAACTTAAAAGATGCATGGAGAGAAAAAAATGCTAAGACTAAACAGTACACTTTCTATTCAAACAGACATTCATCATGGTCCAGAATAGATATGATATGGATGTCAACAGAATTGATCGCTAATCTCCAAGAAATAAACATTGAAACAAGTACTTGGGCAGATCATAACCCAATGACAATAAAATGGAAAGGACAAAGAAGAAGATCTAGATGGATGTTAAATAATAACATACTAAAAGAAAAAGACTTTATACAGAGAATCGAGAAAGAACTGCCTTTTTTCTTTAAAGAAAATAAAAAAGAAGACATATCAATGCAGAATGTGTGGGATACAATGAAGGCATATGCCAGAGGCTTGATAATAGACTATACAAGGAAAAGAAATATTACAAAAAGACTAGCCTCTAAGACATTATAGGATCAGTATAAAGGACTTGAAAAAGAGTTACAGAAAACTCCACAGAAAAAGGAAATTAAATTAAAAATGGATATAACTAAACATAAATGGGATTAATGGAAAAAGAAGAACTACCACAGAAAATCAGAGGTGTGAAGCAGAACTATTTTGAAGATGCAAATAAACCAGGTAGATGGTTAGCATATAAACTGAGAAAGGAGAGAGAATCAAGGAAAATATTGCAATTAATAGATGATCAAGGCCAAGCTTGCTATGGAACGAAAGAGAAGAAGAAGAATCATATGAGATTACTATGGGAGACTATACACACAAGAGAATATTGATGATGAAAGAGTTAAACAGTACTTATAGAATGCTAACCTACCCCAGATACCTAAAGAGATTAAAATAATATTAGAAAGCAATATAACGATGATGGAGTTAACTGAAGCACTTAAGAAGCAAAATAATGGAAAGGCACCAGGCCCAGATGGACTTCCAGTGGAATTTTACAAGACATTACAAGAATCGTTGAATCTCCCATTGTTAGAAGTTATAAATGAAGTTATGTTAAAGAAGAGGATACCCAAATCATGGCCAGAAACTTATATTACACTTGTCCCAAAAGAGGACACCGACCCATTAAGAATTATAGACCTATTTCCCTACTAAACTCAGACTACAAAAATGTTGCTTCAATATTGGCAGAAAGACTCAAAAAATACTTAAATAACTTTATTCACCCCAATCAAAATTGATTTCTGCCAAAGAGACAAATTAAAGACAATATGAGAGTAATTTTGGACACTTTGGAATATTATGAGGGACACCCTGAAAAACAAATGGCTTTGATATTTTTAGATGCACAGAAGGCCTTTAACAATGTGAATTGGTGATTTATGTCATTACAGCTGGAACAGATGGGCTTTGGTAAAAAAATTATCCATGCAATAGAAGCTATATATTATAAGCAAATGGCAAAGGTAATGATAGAGGGAGAATTGACGGATTCTAGTGATATAAGAAAAGGAACAAGACAAGGGTGCCCACTGTCACCTTTGTTGTTTGTGTTAACCTTGGAAGTACTAAATAGAAATATTAGAGAAGAAAAGGATATAAAAGGGATGAAAATTAAAAAGGAAGAATTTAAATTGCAAACATTTGCAGATGATCTGGTTTTCATTTTAGAAGACCCACTAGAAACAGCATTAAAATTGATAGAAAAGATAGAGGTATATGGAAAGGTGGCTGGTTTGAAAATAAATGAAGACAAAACAAAGATTTTGACAAAGAATTTGTTACCAAGACAAAAGGAAGAATTGGTGGATGTTTTGAAAATTCAGGTCACAAATAAGATCAAGTACTTGGGGATACATTTGACAGCAAGATGTAGTACATTAAAAGAGAATAATTATATCAAACTTAAACAGCAGATAGCGCTAGATCTGGTGAAATGGGAAAACGTACAATTATCATTAATAGGGAGAATATCAACAATCAAGATGAATATATTACCCAGAATTTTATATTTGTTCCAAACAATTCCAATTAGGCTTGGAAAAGATTATTTTGAAGATTTAAATAAAATTGTGTTGAAAAATATATGGAAAGGTAAAAAAGTGAGAATAAAACTAAAACTCTTGCAAGATACTAGAATAAGAGGAGGATTTGGTTTGCCTAATTGGGAATTGTACTACCAAACTACAAATTTGATGTGGGTCAAGGAATGGAGAACATTAAGAAATACTGGATAGTTGACATTAGAAGGACATAATCTGTTGTTGGGTTGGCTTGCCTTCCTATGGTACCAAGGAACTAAAACACAGGGGTACTTCAGAAGACATTATATACGGGAGGCTCTGTGGTTAAATTGGGAGAAGATTAAGAGGCAATGTTATTTGAAAATTCCAGTCTGGCTATCGACTATTGAAGCTTTTTCTTATCCTATAATATATAAAAAGGAACAAACAGTTAGATATGGTGAAATTTTGAATGAAAAGGGTGAACTTAAATCTATGCAAAAACTAGAGGAACAAGGTATAAAGATGAATTGGTTTTCATATGCACAAATACATTCAAGGTATGATAAAGATTCTAAAACAGAGGGTTTCTATGATAAATTGACTGATTTAGATAAGATTTTGACAGGTACTGATGAAAAGGTGAGTAAAAAACTGTATGGATATTTATTAGAAATTAAGCTAGAAGAAGAACAAGTCAAAGAAACAATGATTGCTTGGGGAAATATTTTGGATATGGGATTGATAGAGAAATGACAAAAATTGTTGTCTCAAAATTATAAAATGACAATGTCAACAGCATATAAAGAAAATTTGTATAAGATGTTTTACAGGTGGCACTTCCCCCCAGCAAGAATAGCAAGAATGTTCAAGAATAAATCTGAAAAATGTTGGAAATGTCATCAGACACCTGGCTCATATTACCATATGTGGTAGACGTGTGCGGATGCTAAAAGATATTGGACTAAAATCCACACGTGGTTGGAAAAAATGACAATTAAACACATAGACCTAAAACCAGAGATACTTTTATTGGGAATTTTACCTGAAATATATAGTATATATACAGTAAGGAATTGAAGTATTTGATTGTAAATGTATTGACAGCACCTAGGATTGTATTTGCTAAAAACTGGAAAAATGAGAAAATACCAGTGCAGGAGGAAGTTATTAAGAAAATAATGGAATGTGCTGAAATGAGTAGATTGACATTTGAAATCAGAGAACAAGAAGATAAACAATTTTGTAAGATTTGGGATTTACTTTATCAATGGTTAGACAATAAAACATGGTAATGAAATATGTAGATTTTTAGAATATAAGGAATATATAAAGATGTATTTTTTTATCATAACTACAATATAATTATAGGATAGACTTGGGATGATAATATGAATTGTCATAAAATAAATCAAGTAATATATGGATTATTTTGTAAAACATGAATGAATAATAGTATAGTCAAATGATTGATTAACAACAATATTAATGTATTTCATAATATTTGATTGACAATGTGAGAACATATACAATGAAATTGTAAGTGATGACTATGAAGTGTATGCACAAAACAATTAGTAAACCAACCGACACATTGTGTGTATATATGTGGAAGATGGCTTGATGTTTTTATGTATTTGTCTATGTTTGTCTAAAAAAACAATTAAAAAAATTTTTCATAAAAGAAAAAAAAGACCCAGAAAACACAGTTGAGTCAACATGCTTCCTGTTATTGATTAAGCTTCCAGTACTGCAACTTTTTTTAAAAAAATGACTCAGTTCTTTAATAACACAGACAATCTGTCAGGGCAAGATATTCAATAGCTCAAGCATGGATGGATTTTGTAATTTAGAACCAAACATGACTGGGAGATAAGAAGTGGATAGCAATTATGAACAAGTCAAAAGTACATTAACGTCATCCTCTTAGATGGAAAGAGTGGTGCTCCCAGCCATGATGATGATTGACTGATTGAATTGATATGCCCATCTGACTCCCCACCCCTAAAAGGGGTGCCTTTGGATCCAAATGTTTTCCATAACTATTAATCTGTCCCCAGCCTTTAGGGGGAAGATTGTTCAAAAACTAGTCAGTATGCAGCTCATGAAAACTCTGATGAAATAGATTTCTCTAGAATGCTTTCAGTTAGTTTTCAGGTCAGAAGCAGAGGTGGTATTCATCAGATTCTGACCAGTCCTGGAGAACCGGTAGCGGAAAATTTGAGTAGTTTGGAGAACTAGCAAATACTACCTCTGACTGGCCCTGCCCCCATCTATTCTCTGCCTCGCGAGTCCCAGCTGATCAGCTGAGTCTTCTTTTGTTGCCCTGCACAGGAGAACAGAGCTGGAAAATAGGTTAGTGGGAATGGAGATTTTGCAGTATCCTTCCCCTGGAGTGGGATGGGAATAGAAATTTTACAGTATCCTTCCCCTGCCATGCCCACCAAGCCATGCCCACAGAACCGGTAGTAAAAAAAATTGAATCCCACCACTGGTCAGAAGACAGCTTTGATCATGCTTGTTAGATGACATGTGACAGAGCCAGGATGGCAGTGGTGCATCCATCTTTGATCTCTCAGGAGTTTTCAGTACTGGTGACCATGAAACCCTTTTGAACCAGTAACAGGTAGTCCTTAACTTTGTGCTAAAACAAAAAAATATTGGGCAAAGATGCACAGGTGGTTAGAAAAGATGATAGGAAATCATGTGGATTTTTAACCTGAACTGTTTTTATTAGGTATAATATCAGAAAAATTAGATAAGAAAAGTATGTATTTAATATTACATGTTATAACAACAGTGAGGATTATATTTGCACAGTATTGGAAAAATGAAGAAACACAATGAGATGAAGAGATAATTAAGAAGATACTAGACTGTGCAGAAATGGATAGATTGACACTGAAAATTAAGCAGAAAGAAGACACAGAATACTATCAAACATGGAATCTATTTTACCAGTGGTTGGAAAAAAAGGGTGGAGATTAAGAATATAATCAGAATTGTTAAGCAAATTAAATACTGAGACAATATGATGTTTATTAAGAAATATAATTTATAAAAAATCAATAAAATTTGGGAGGAAAAACATTTCATTTAGTTCGAAGTTAGAACATCACTGAAAAAATTGACATATGTTCATTTTTCACACGTATGATTGTTGCAGCGTCTCCATGGTCACACAATCAAAATTCAGATGCTTGGCAACTGGCTTATATTTATAATGATTGTAATATCCTGGGGTCATGTGATCCCATTTTACAAGCTTCTGATAAGCAAATTCAATGGGGAAGCCAGGTTCACTTAAGTAACTAACTTAACGATTGCAGTGGTTCACAACTGTGGTAAGAAAGTTTCTAAATGTGGCAAAAGTCACTTAACAAACTGTCTTGTTTAGCCACAGAAATGTTGGGCTCAGTTATGGTCATAAGTCGAGGATTACCTGTACTGGGGGGTTCAATAATATGCATGGCCTTCAACACCAAGAATTCCTAGCTGGCCAAACTAATTGGAAATTTTAGAAGTCCAGTTTAGAGGGCACCATTGAGCAATGATGGGCTTTAAAGTCATACATCAGATTTTTTTTTTTAATTGCACATATATGAGGTATTCTTATCTGAAGACTAATTTGAGGATGTAATAACAACTTAGTGGGGAACTGTAGATGCTCAGGATTACCATTCTTTCTTGGTTTGTATTGTCTGTTCCCTAGTGAGACCTGGTTCAATTTAAATCCTGTCGTCTGATCCAAAAATATGTCCTAAGATTATATACTACCGTACACACTTAATGTCTTCCTGAGAAATTCCTGCTCAATCTTTTCTTGGAATGGAAATCCAATCAGCTTCTAAGCTGTTTGTTCCGGTAATGAGATCAACATAAATTCTCACACAAGAACATAGGAAGTATTACTTCCATTGCTTCTGATTTCAATAGGTCATATGAGCAAGACTTCTTTTATAACTTCTATTTTTTAAAACTTACTCAGAAACTGATTTTTCTACTTTTAATAGAATACCCTGCAATGTTTCAGGCATAGGACACCGTATAAATAGGAATTAAAGGGACAAATGGTAAAATTGAGTAACTGAAAGAAGGTGCAATACATACATTTCTCTATTTTTAAGTATGGATATCATGTCGCTAGTAACGAATAGGTAACCTATTTCCCATTTGACTAATATTAGTAAATGGTTTTCTTCAGCATATAAGGTGGCAGTTTTATTGCAACTTTTGTTATTTTCATACCATCTGACTTCATTCCATAGAAGAATTGTTCAATAGAAGAAAATTCTTAAAATTCAACAATAATTGGACAAATAGATTGCTATTCCTATAATATGCAATTTCCTTTAATGTATGTTTAGAGTATAAATGAATTTACAATGCAGTAAGCAGAATACTATTCACTGAAAAATATTACCATACTTTGCATACATCTTTCCCAACTGTATAGCAATCCCTGAAACTATCTCATTTGTATCTTGTGTGTGTGTGTCCATGTGTATGTGTCTATGTGTGTATGTGAGGGGGATGAGGGAGGGAGTGAAAGAGAAATCTGGCACAGTGATCTTGAAAAAAAGCTATCATCATTATAAATTTCATCAATTTCTATGTCAAAACAGCCTAAATTAACAGGCATTTTTATTTCCCAATTCAGAAATTTGCAACTTGGAAACCTCTACATTGATTTTAATCAAAGCTGGCAATTTTGATCCTGTCATTATTACCTAATTAGCTTGCATGTTTTGTTCCGTTCTGCTGGAAAAAGTAAAATAGTTTTTTGTTATTTTGCATTTCACCCACGTTAGGGACAAGCAATGCTTTGTTTTAATAAATTCTATTCTGAATTTGGATGGTTGATCAGATTGCACAATCTGGAGTAAATCAGCATTTTCCTAGCCTTACCACAAATCAAGTCTTGGGTCTGTGAATCTTTATGGATATATAAAACTCAAAAAGATGATTGTTTCTTGACTTCAAACGTGGGCTAAGTTTTTTAAAAAAGAATTGGTTGTAAAGAAATTTGACAAATTGCATCACAGAAAGAGTTATACCTTCACATTATAGGAGTTCCTCCTTAGCATTTTTTGCCGGTTTTATCTCTGTATATTCTTTTAAAAAGGACTTCTATAAAATTCTGAATTAATTCACTCTTTTTATTACTAACATAGAAATCAGATCAGTCTGTCATATGTGTATTCTTTGACATTCATTCATTCTTTTCTGGCTGTGGTTTGTGAAAATGTGTGTGTGTGTGTTGGGAGGGGAAACCAACCTATTCCCTTTTACTTTGATTACAGTGGCATCACAATGATGTTGATGTTTTTTTCAAGGAAAAAAAAATAGAAAGCATCTGCATTAATGTCAAAGGAGGTAATGTGGGAAGAAGGATTAAAGGCATCCATGGGTGCAAATATCTGGAAAAGGCAAGGCATTGGAATACTAAGAAGGGAACATACGATGGTGGTGCAGCAGTTAGAATGCAGTACTGCAGGGCTAACTCTCTGCTCACTCCAGGAGTTCAATTCTGAGTGGCTCAAGACTGACTTCACCTTCCATCCTTCCGAGGTCAGTAAAATAAGGACCCAGATTGTTGGGAGCAGTATGCTGACTCTGTAAACTGCTTAGTAGGCCCATAAAGTATTCTATTCTATTCTGTTCTGTTCTGTTCTGTTCTATTCTATGAGGGCTGTAAAGCACTGTGAAGCGGTACGTAAGTCTAAGTGCTATTCAGGGGTTGGATTCTCCCGATTTGGACCGGTTCGGGTGACTCTCTTGATCTGACAATCAGCTGGCTCCAAACCGGTTCACTGTGGGCCCGCCACCAGCCCCTGCTCTTTCCTCTGCTTTATTTCCTGTTTTTAGAGCATAGCTGATTGGCGCAGCAGAACGGTTTGCCTCACCTCAGTTGGTTGATTCACAGGGGCTGCAGTTGAAGAGCTGAAAATCAGCTTTTTAAAATGCAGATTGCGTGTGTAGAGTGCATGTTTAGCATGCGCGTGCTCACCAAACCTGTTGTTATACCAGTGAATCACACCCCTGGTCCTATTGCTATTCTCCAAGATGAAAAGGTAGGTACTGAGAAACCAGCTCCTAAAAAGGATAACCTGGGAGACTTTCCTTCCCTGCTCAAATGAGGAAGTCAAGGAGCAGAAAAATAAAAAAATAGGCGAAGATTACATGAAGTGCTAGGACCACTTTATAATGCCTTGGTAAGGCCACACTTGGAACGCTACATCCAGTTTTGGTCACCACAATCTAAGAAAGATGTTGAGACTCTGGAAAGAATACAGAAAAGAGCAACAAAGATGGGTAGGGGGCTGGAGCAACAAAGATGAGTAGCGGGCTGGAGGCAAAACCGTACAAAGAATGGTTGCAGAAATTGGGTATGTCCAGTCTAGTGAAAAGAAGGACTAGGAAAGACATGATAGCAATGTTCCAATATTTGAGAGGCTGCCACAAAGAAGAGGGAGTCAGGCTATTCTCCAAAGCACCAGAAAGCAAGATAAGAAATAATAGATGGAAACTAATCAAGGAGAGAAGTAATGCCTTCTGCCAGGAGAAATTTCCTGACAGTGAGAACAATTAACTAGTGGGATGCCAATGGGTTGCCTTCAGAAGTTGTAGGTGCTCAATCACTAGAGGCTTTCAAGAAGAGACTGGGCAGCCATTTGTCTGAAATGATACAGGGTCTCCTGCTGAGCAGAGGGTTGGACTAGAAGACCTCCAAGGTCCCTTCCAACTCTGTTATTCTGTTAGGTGTTGTGGTGACCACAGTCTGCACTAAGCAGTCCTGCTGACAACACTCTGCAACCCAGACTAGAATTTCTGAAGGTGCTCATAAAAGAGGTGGGAACTGCATGAGAGATCAGCAACTCAGGGACCAGTGAAAAATTGCCTTTCTGGGCAATTCTTCCTTCTTTGTGAGTCTGGTATATTCATGTGACTTCATTTTTTTCCCACCCTGCTCCTGCTTCCTCGGAGGCCCTGTCCTTTCTAAGCCAGCATTCCAACATCTCATTTACAGTTATTCCTAAGATACTTAATTCCACAATGATCTTGTTGCTACCTCAACTTCTTCACTGCTACTGATCATAAACCCGCCCATCACTGCTAAAGAATGTGAGACAGAAGTTACAAAAAAATAGGTATAACTACACTCGGCGGAGAAAAAAGTCTGAAGACTTTGGATGGCTCCTATCCAAGACTGGATACTGGCAATTCCATACCATGTCCTCAGATTCCCTATTTAAATAGGATATAAAAGTTGCAGGAAGGAAGCCACTATGGAATGTCCAAGTCAACCCTGCTCACATTCTAAAAATAAACACAAGTTATCTACACGGAATTCTTCTTCATGTTACAGT